CATTCACCCAAATAATGTATATGATATTCATTAAGTTATTTCTCAGTCTTCACCCCATTTCCACCCTCTCAATTTTCCACATGTCCAATGTTTATCAATCCACACCCAAAGTACATGTCTACACATTATTTAGCTCCTACTTATAAATAAGAACATGTGGTATTTGACTTTCTGTTTCTGAGTTGTTTCACTCTTAAGATAATGGCTTCCAGTTACATTCTTGTTGCTGCAAAAGATATGGTTTCACTCTTTTTTATAGCTGAATAATATTTCATTATGTGTATATGCCACATTTTCTTTATCCAATCATCAGAATTCATTTATCAAATCTAAGAGATTTTGGTGGAGATTTTGGGGTTTTCTAGATATAATCAGCCCACTTAGGCTAATTCCATGTCTTTGCTACTGTGAATAGTGATATGATAAACATATGAGTGCAGGTATCTTTTTGATATAATGATTTATTTTCCTTTGGATAGATACGAAGTAGTGGGATTGCTGGATGAAATGGTAGTTCTATTTTTAGGTTTTTGAGAAATATCCATACTGTTTTCCACAGAGGTTGTACTAATTTACATTCCCACCAACAGTGTAAAAGCATTACCTTTTCTCTGTGTCCTTGCCATCATTTGATAGTTTCTGACTTTTTAATGATACCCATTGTCACTGGTATAAGATGATACCTAATTATAGTTTTAATTTTCATTTTCTGATAATTAGTGATGTTCAAAATTTTTTCATATGCTTATTAGCCATTTGTCTTCCTTCTTTTGAAAAATGTATATTCATACTCTTTGCCCATTTTAATGAGGTTATTGGCTTGTGTTGTTATTGTTTTTCAGTTGTTTGAGTTCCTTGTAAACTCTGGATATTATTCCCTTGTTGATTGCATACTTTGCAAATATTTTCTACCATTGTGCATGTTGTTTATTCACTCTGTTCATTATTTCTTTTTCTATGCAGAAGTTTTTTTTTAGCTAACTTAAGTCCCATTTGTCTATCTTTATTTTATTACTTGTGCTTTTGAAGTCTTAGTCATGAATTCTTTGCCTGGACCAATGTCCAGAAGAGTTTTCCCTAGGCTTTCTTCTAGTATTTTTATAGTTTTAGGTCGTACATTTTAAGTCTTTAATTCATCCTGAATTAGCTTTTGCATATGGTGAGAAATAGGGTTCCAGTTTCATTCTTCTGCATATGGTGATCAAATTTTCATAGCACCATTTATTGTAAAGGTTGTCTTTTCCCTGGTGTGTGTTTTTATAGAGTTTGTCACAGATCATTTGTCTGTAGATATATGGTTTTACCTCTGCGTTCACTATTCTGTTCCATCAATCTACGTGTCTAATTTTATAATAGTACCATGCTAGTTTGGCTATGATAGCCTTATAGTATAATTTAAACTCAGGTAATGTGATGCCTCCAGCTTTATTCATTTTGCTTAGGATTGATATGGCTATTCAGGATCTCTGTTGCTTCTATATGAATTTTAGGATTGTTTTCTATTTTCTTTTTTTTTTTGTAAAATGACATTAGCATTTTGATAGAGATTGCAATGAATCTATAAATTTTTGGGGGCAGTATGGTCATTTTTAATGGTATTACTTCTTCCAATTCAATTAGCATAGGATGTTTTTCCATTTGTTTATGTCATCTATAATTTCTTTCATCAGTGTTTTGTAGTTTTCCTTATAGAGAATTTTCATCTTCTTGGTTATATATATTCCTAGTTTTTTTTTTTTTTTTAGTTATTATAAATGGGAGTACCTCTTGATTTTCTTCTCAGCTTGATCATCATTAGTGTATAGAAATGCTACTGATTTTTGTACATTTACTTTGTATTCTGAAATTTTAATGAATTCATTTATCAAATCTAAGAGTTTTGGGTGGAGTCCTTGGGGTTTTCTAGATATAAGATCATATCATCAGTAAACAGAGATAATTTGACTTACTCTTTTCCTATTTAGATGTATTTTATTTCTTTCTCTTGCCTAAATGCTCTGTCTAGGAATACCAGTACTATATTGAATAGGCATGAGAAAAATGGGCATCCTTGTCTTGTTCAAGCTCTTAGAGGTAATGAACTTTAACTTTCATTTGAACTTTGAACATTTCCCCATTCAGCATGATATAAGCTGTGGCTTTAAAGGTGTTTTTTATTTTTTTATTTTTAGTCCCTGATATTCAAGGATATATCTGTCAAACCATTAGATGAACACAAGATAATGAACAGAGATTTCAGTTACCATACATGACAAGAAATACAGTTTTTGAAAAATACCTTGGAAAAGTCATGAAACAAACAGATTACTACAGATTTCAACAATCAAAAAATAAAAATAAAAAAAAAACAGCAAGTCCTGGGGAAAAGAAATAATCTGATTTCCAGATTTATCACATTATAATATTCAAATGTCCAGCTTTCAAATTGTGGAAAGCCAAAAGCAAAAAAAAAAAAAAAAAAAAAAAATCTTGAAGGGAACAATAGAGGAGAAACATCGAACCAATGGAGGGGAACAATGAATAACTCAAAAATAATGGTTGAAGACTTCAGTACACCGCCCTCAATAATGGATAGCATTTCTAGATAGACTATCAGGAAGGAAATTAAGATCTTGGAATGTAGACATATACAGAGCCCTCTACCCAAGAGTAGCAAAATACACATTTCTCTCAATGTACTTGGAACATTCTCCAGGATAGACCATATTTTAGACAACAAACAAGTCTTAATATATTAAAAAAATGAAAACTTGCCAATCATCTTTTCTGACCACAGTGGAATAAAACTAGAAATCAATAATAGTAGGAAATCTTGAAAATTTAAAATATGTGCATACTGAATAATACACTTTTGAAGAACCAATGGATCAAAGAGAAATTAAGATAATACTTACAAATGAATGAATACTAAAATACAACACACTGAAACTTATGGCACATTATAGTGATTATATATATATATATATATATATATATATATATATATATACACACAAAATTCCTGGGTCATAACTCCCATAGCCATTGTTTTAGTCTTTTGTCACAAAATTGGATGTGTTAGTACCTCAGGAGCAGGCCTCAGGAAACAGAATCTCTTAGATTTGTTTTTTGGCCCTTCTTTTCACCTGCACCAAGGCAGAACTCTAATCTTCTCCTGCCTTCCTAATTGTGAGTCATAAGGCCCTCACTTTAGGGAGGGTCTTATCCTCCTACCCAGTACCCTGGAGGTAACATGGTTGTCCATAAAAACCCAAGAGGACTGGGTTCAGAGATTTGCTGGATAGCTGAACAATTGGAGGTTCCTGGAAAGTGGCACACCCAGGGAGGGCACGAAAGCTCCATACCTCTTCCTCTCATACCTCATCCTGTATATCTCTTTATGTATATCCGTTGTAATATCCTTTGTAATACACTAGTACTCATGTTTTACTGAGTTCTATGAGTCATTTCAGCAAATTAATCAAACCCAAAGAGAGGGCCATGGAAATCCCAACTTGAAGGTGGTTGGTTAGAAGTTACAGAGGCCTTTTCTGTGACTGGTGTTTGAAAAGCCCTCACCCTGAGTGATCTTATGCTATGTCTATATAGATAGTGTCAGAATTGAATTAGAAGGCACCCAAGTAGTGCTGCTACTTGGTGTGTGGGGAAAAAGTCCCATATCTGGTCACAGAAGTCTTCCTCTGTGTTTATAATTGTTGGGGTGTGAAAGATGAGGGAAAGTATAGTTTTGGAATTTTTTTTTTCTTAAGCTGTTTTTATTACACTCAAGGTATTAAGACAAGTACAAAACAATCTTGTGATTAGGATACTGTATCAGTCAAAAAAATTACTACCGTATGAAGAGATTTACAAATGACTTAAATATACAAGCTGTGACAGAACAATATGAAATAGGAGGGTTTTTTCTTTTAGAAATGCTAAATTTTTTAACAAAACAAGACAAATAAAATACAGTGTTCTAAATATGCATAACCATAAAAATATTAAAGAAAAGTAGTCTTAACACTATTAGCATAACAGACTCCATTGCTTCTATTTAACAGCCTTTGCCAGTATATGCCTACTCCCTTTCCCAACTTTAAGGAACTGTTTCCTCTAAGGAATACTAGTACAGCATAACCCTTAAATAATTTCATTTATTTTTAAAGTTACAACCTACAGAGAAATTAACATCTTGTCAGTCTAATAACAATTGCAACCATTCTTTACATGTACTTTTCATAGAATAAATCCCCTTGGCTGGCAGGATAAGGTTTATGCTACAGAATCTTCTTTCCCACAGCCACAAATTTTCTTCTACGATATTTCCCTGCTACCCTCATTCCCCTCACCCCCATCCCTACACTAGCATTCACCTTTCCCACCCCAAAAAGTGTAGTTCATGATAACCTTTCTAGAAAATGGGTGTCCCAGAATAACACTTTATAAAGCCCCTCTGAACACCAGAGGTGATGAAAATGAATTGTGTTCTTGGATTTTTTCTTTAAGCCTTCAAAAAGGTGTTCTCTGAATATTTAAGCTTTTGTGTGTGTGGCCATTTTTTATTTCATTAAGATACCCTGGGAGATATAATGGAAAGAACAGCTCCATTTTCCCCAAATTGGGCGTGAGAAAAGGGAAAGAGAAGCAAGCTGTTGCCCCCACTTTGGCTTAGCTTTCCAGCCCTCTTCCTGACTCCGGTTCTTCCGTAGGAACTAGTTATTGCTTCCATAATGCCGTTACACAGAATGTTCCATAAATGCTGTGGACCTAGTCACAGTCCACCTGCAACAACTCCTCTGCTCTGAAAAACAAACCAGCCTAAGGGCTCTTACCCAGAATAAAAATCTTCAGCCCTCAAGGTCACTGAAACTTTAGTGCAGTTTAGAGTAAATGCTTAAGATTTGGCATACATTAAATGATTATTGTCACAATGTTCTCCAGTTTCATGTGTAAATATTGATACGCATGTGGCCAGGGCCCTGGATGGATCAGCCAATCTGCACCATTTTTATGTCAGCAATAATCCTGCAATCTGCCCGGGACTTGGAGGAGGAGGAGGAAGAAGAGGGCATGGAGCAGGGGCTGGAGGAAGAAGAAGAAGAGGTGGACCCCTGGATCCAGGGAGAACTGGAGAAGTTAAATCAATCCACGGATGACATCAACAGACAGGAGACTGAACTCGAGGATGCCCGTCAGATGTTCTGCTCTGTTCTGGTTGAAGCAACGGTGAAGCTGGACGAATTGTTGAAGAAAATCGGCAAAGCCGTGGAAGACTCGAAGCCCTACTGGGAGGCATGGAGGGTGGCAAGGCAGGCTCAACTCGAAGCGCAGAAAGCCACTCAGGACTTCCAAAGGGTCACTGAGGCACTCCATGCTGCCAAGGAGACCATCTCCCTGGCTGAGCAGCAGCTGCTGGAGGATGACAAGAGGCATTTCGACTCAGCCTGGCAGGAGATGCTGAATCATGCCACTCAGAGGGTCATGGAAGTGGAGCAGACCAAAACAAGGAGCGAGCTGGTGCATAAGGAGACAGCGGCCAGGTACAATGCTGCTATGGGCCACATGAGACAGCTGGAGAAGAAAAGAGAGCCATCAACAAGTCCAAGTCTTATTTTGAACCCAAGGCAAAGTACTACGTGCAGCTTGAGCAACTGAGGAAGACCATGGATGACCTGCAGGCCAAACTTACGCTGGCAAAAGGCGAGTACAAGATGGCCCTGAAGAACCTGGATAAGATCCGTTAGCAGTGGTGCTCCAGTGCCATAGGACCTCAGGGCTGCGGCGTTGGGGCTGAGGGCAGTAGCACATCTGTGGAGGACCTGTCAGGGAGCAAGCCTGAGTCGGATACCGTTTCTGTGGCCTCGGAGGCCTTTGAAGATGACAACTGTACCAACTTTGTGTCTGAAGATGACTCAGAAACCCAGTCTGAATCCGCCTTTAGTTCAGGACCAACGAGCCAGTCTGAGATGCCCGACCAGTTCCCTGCAGCTGTGAGGCCTGGCAGCCTGGATCTGTCCAGCCCTGCATCCCTGTCGGAGTTTGGGATGATTTTCCCAGTCTTGGGCCCTCGAAGTGAATGCAGTGGAGGCTCCTCCCCTGAATGTGAGGTGGAACGAGGAGACAGGGCAGAAGGGGCAGAGAATAAAATGAGCGACAAAGCCAACAACAACCAGGATCTCAGAAGGAAGAGAATAATTGTTGTCAAAACCACAAGGGGGTTTCAGTCAGGTCCATTTGCTCATTGCACAAAAATCCAATTATTGAAACAATGAAAATTGCAAGGAAAAAATGAATTTTTAATATGACATACATCTGTCAGGAGAACATCAGAAGCAGTCTCAAATCCATCTTTCTGACTAAGGGATATCATGGGCTTTTAAAGGAGAGGCCATGTGCCTTGGGGCATGTCATGGTGTGTCTCACAAGGGGATAAACGCATTGAGGACAAGGTTGTGGAAGATGATGAATCTCCGCATCATGAAGTCTACCCAGGGGTCTTCAGAATCTCAGCTCTTTTGTCTTGTAGAAAATCCATCCTTTCAGGCTAGATGTTGTGGTCCACACCTATATTTTCAGTATTTTGGGAAGCTGAGGCAAGAGGATCACTTGAGGCCAGGAGTCAAGTCCCTCATTTCTGGGAAACAACTCAATGCATCAAATAGTTAAGGGAGAGGATTATTAAATATATGGATTCATGGAGCCAGTTACATAGTATAATAAAGATTAAAACAGATAAATATCAATAAAACAGAGAATAAAATATAAAAAGTCAAACCAAAATGTGTTTTTTTAAAGTAATAAAAAGAATTGACAGAGTTTTAGAACCTACCCAGACATCAGCAAAATAACAGAATAGGAATTTCCAGTGGTTTTCCCCCCATAGAAATGCCAATTGAATAACTATCCATGCACAAAAATAGCTTCACAGTAGGTAAGGAAATCATTTGAGAGATTATAGCATCTGGATGTAGCACAGAAATTTTAAAAGATGCACTAAAGAGGGTGGGAAGAACAGTTTTACATTACACATGTCACCCCTTCTTCAAGTTGAAGCAGTATAGCATGAAGAGAGATACCCTGTCATTGGGGAAAAAGAGAAAGATGAGCATGGAATTTCACTTTGGCCCCACAATTGCTCCTGACCCAATAAAATCCAATGCTGGAAAGACCCCATATCCCCAGACTTTAGGCTGGTACCCTAAAAATGAGTCTCAGTGCCAAACTAGACCCCACAGCCCCAGGCTTTAAGCATGTCCTAGCACTACATCAATATCCTGGGCTTAGGCATCAGGTCTGCACCTGCAGACAAAGGCTCCAGGCCAACCCAATGCCAGACCAGCCTCTGAAGCCCTAGACACCTGAAGACCCAGGGTCCACCAGACTGGATGCTAGGTCTATGGAGGTTGCTGTGTCAGCAGATCAAGTGTTTAGGCATGTCTCAGGAGACTCTACTGCCAGACAAGCTCCCACAGACCCAGGTTCCAGGACAAATCTTGTGGAACTAGGCTGGCCCCTGTGGCCCCAGGACCCAATCCAGCCCTCACAGGCCTAATCTCTAGGCTTGTCTCCATGGACCAAGTCTGCCAGATGGTCTCATGGACCCAGGTTTCAGATCTACTCCAGCAGATCCAGTGCCCAGGCCTATACTATTAGACCCCAGTACCAGGCTAACTGTCTTAGACTAAGGCTCCAGGACCATCCCAACAAACCCAGGTTCCAGGCCAGCCCCCATGGAAACAGGATTTAGGTCTGCTTCTATATACAGGATCCCAGTACCTGGCAAGCTGTTGTGGCTCATGCTCCAGGCCCATCCCAGTAGAGCTGGACACTAGGACTATCTCAGGACCTGGACAGACCCTGAAGACTCAGGCTCAGGGCCCACCCCAATATTAGGTCAACATCCATGGACACAGGCTTCAGACTATCCCCCATGGAAATAAGCTCCAGCGTGCTCTTGCAGGTCCAGGTTCCAGGCTCACCCCTGAAGATACAACAGGTCTACTCAGGTGGCTCTAGACGCCAGCCCAACTCCACAGACTCAGAATCCTTGGATTGGCTGACTAGTGAAGAGTTTTCCCCAACAAAGCCAGTCTGAAAAGATTGATTAAGTCTCTATTTATTCAAATGGCAGAGATAAATGCATGGCCACAAGCTTCAAGAACAATTAGGGAAAAATAAAATCACCAAAGGAACAAAATAAAACACAGATCCTAATAAATAGACATTTCTGAAAGCTCCTGACAAAGAATTCAAAATAATTACTTTAAGGAAGTTCAGAAAATACAGAGAAGTTATTCAACAATATCAGGAATATAATAAGCAATCAAAATTAGAAATGTAACAGAAGGGTTGAAATTATATATATAAGTCAAATAGGAATTCCAGAGCTGAGAAATGTAATGAATGAAATTTAAAATGTGATAAAGAGTATCTACAGAAGAAGATCAAGCGCAAGAAAGAATATATGAACTTGAAGACAGGTCATTTGAAATTATACAGTCCAAGGGAAAAAGAAAGAATGAAAAGGAATGAAGAAAATTTGTGGGGCTTATGGGACAGTATCAAAAGAATAAATGTTTAAGTTATAGGATTATATCAATTAATATAATTGTTATGGGAGTGGGTGCATTATTATGAGAGTAGGTTGTTATACAAGCAAGTTTGCCCTCTCTTGCCCACTTTCTTTCATGCTGTCTTCCCTTTATGCCTTCTGCCATGGAATGATGCAGCACCAGATGCCAGCTCCTTATTGAACTTCTAACTAGTTTTCTAGAACCATGAGAAATATTTTTTGTTATAAATTACCCAGTGTGGTATTCTGTTATAGCAACACAAAACAGACTAAGACATAAAATTGGTAGTAAGTAGAGCTTTTGTTATAACAAATACAAGAAATCTGGAAGCAATTTTGGACTGTGTAATAAAGACAGGCTGGAAGAATTTGGAGAAGCAGGCTAAAAAAGTCTAGAGTCATCAATAGATTACCAAGGGAAAATTTGGTGAGTGGTCAGAAGAAGAGAGTTGTTGGGGAAGTTTGAAACTTCTTAGGAATTACTTATGTGGTCATGAGCAGAATGCTGGTAGAAATATGAATAGAAAAGGCCATTCTGATAAGGTCTCAGATAGAAAAATGGAAAATAATATTGGAAACAAGAGTAAAGGCCATTCTTGTTATGTAGGGAAAAAAAAAACAAAAAAAAAACCTTGGCTGAATTGTGTCCATGTCCAAGGGCTTTACAGAAGGTACAATTTAAGAGCAATGAACTAGCATATATTGTAGAAGAAATTTCTAGCAAAATACTGAGGTGGCTGCATGACTATTTTTAACCATATTCAATAAAATGTGAGTGGGTAGAAATAAAATTAGAATTTATAATTAAAAAGAAGCATGATGGAAAGATTTTTGACTCGAGGATGGAGGGGGACAAGAGTAATATACGTAACATTAACATTTGTACCCCCATAATATGCTGAAAAAAAGTTAAGGGATTTGCCCAAATCAGCAATCCTTGGGCACATCCATTACCCTTGTCTTTAGTTAAAAATAAAAGTAAGGTTTTCAGGGAAAAAAAAATCAGCCTGGCCCTGTAAAGAATGACAAAAATGTGTTTGGGAGAGAAAACCAAGGGTGTAGTCAAGCACTCATTTGCTGAGGAGATTAGTGTAGATACAAGGGATCATCAAGACAATTGGAGAATGATTTCAAAGGCATTCCAGACTTCTTTGAAGCTGCTCTTCCTTTCACAGACCCAGAGGTCTAGCAGGGAAGAATTGTTTTGGGGAAGAGATTTTGAGTGCACTATAAGCTCATGGCTCACTTCCCAGAGTCACCTTATGTCTCTACTCCCCATATTCTAACACAGCACTCCTCAGCTACTTCAGCTCTGGCTCAGGGAGACCCAGGTGCAGCTCACCCTATCACACTGGAAGGTACAAAGTATAAATTGGTGGTGCCCATGTGATGTTAATTCTTCAGGTGTGCAGAATGAAAGAAGTGTGGTGACATGGCTTGCTTCACTTAGATTTCAAAGAATGTTGTGCACATCATGTAAGAGACTTGTCACAGGGGCAAAGCCCCACAGAGAGTACTCAGTAAGGCAATATCTAATGGAGCAGTGGGACTGAAACATACTCCAAGACCACAGAACTGTAGAATAACCAACATGCAACTCTAGCTTGAGAAAGCTGCAGGTACAAAACTCCAACTTGTGAGACCTAGGTGAACTGAAAAGCCAAAGTAGCAGGGCTGCTTAATGCCTTGGGGGCACAACCCCTGCCCCCCCATTCCCAGAATGTGAAACATGGAGTCAGAGGAGATTATTTTCTAGCTTTAAGACTTAATGTTTTTCCTGTTAAGTTTTGGACTTGTTTAGGGCCTATTATTTCTTTCTTCTTGCCTATTTCTCCTTTGTGGAATGGGAATGTCTATCCTATGCCTGTTCCAATGTTGTATTTTGAAAGCAGACTTGTTAATTTAACAGTCTCAGAGCTAGAGTGGAATTTGCCTCAGGATGAATCATTCCTTGAGTCTCATCCATGTCTGATCATATGAGACTCTGAACCTTTGACTTTTGAGTTGATGCTGGAACAAGTTAAGATTTTTGAAGGGATTTTTCTTCCCCTATAGAGATGAAATGAATGCATTTTGTATGTAAGAAGGACATGAATTTGGGGGGCCTAGAGCAAAATGTTATGATTTTAATGTCCCCTCTAAAACTCATGTAGAAATTTAATTGCCCTTATGAGACTATTAAGAGGTAGAACCTGTTAAGTGGTGATCAGGCTATAGGGGCTCTGCCCTCATAAATGGATTAATGTCATTATCATGGGAGGGGTTCGTTATCAAGAAAAATAAGGTCTTACAAAAGCTAGTTTTGGCCTTCTCTTGTTCATTCACTCTCACACTCTCTTGCCTTTCTGTCTTACTCAATGGGATGACATGGCAAAAAGGCCCTCACCTGATGCTGGTGCCGTGCTATGGGACTTTCTAGACTTCAGAACTGTGAAAAATATTTTCTTTTGTTTATAAATTACCTATGCTGTGGTATTCTGTTATAGTAATGCAAATAGACTAAGATAGGAATTGAACACATATGTATTACTTCAAATTTATTAAGGCATATTTTATACTCCAGAAATTTTTTTTTTTGCTGGTGAATATTTCATTCAAGCTTGAAAATAATTCATATTGTTCTGTTGT